TACTAATACTAGGGTACCATTTCTTTAATTGTATAATTTTTTGTTATCAATTACATTTTATTTCCTATGACTTTTCAAACTTTACCTTTGTATAGAATAGTTCCCTTTCCAAACTTTGTTTAGATAGTTTATAATGGTGCACTTTAACCGGTTATCTTTTCACCAATGGTTTCACAAATTTTCTTATGGCATGTATTGTTTTGATAAATCACAATTGAAAATTTAAATCTTCGAGTTAGCTTCGATACCTGTTTTCTCCGAGCGGAGCTCGGTCACCCGCTGGTTAAAGTTAAATATAAAACAACTAAGCAAAGTTTTGTCAAAATAAAAATAGTTTGGTGACCACAAACATTTGAAATCAGTGATTTTCGCTAAAAGTCACTGATTAGCTGAATTATTTTTTTATTGTAAGCTGTAATTATTTTTTATTTAGTGCTTAAATCAACACATAGCTAGCCCACCTTCTTTTTACTAATTGTTGATGCCCTTCAGAAATTGTGGGCCCTAGGTCCATGCCTATGGGGCCTAGGCTATAATCAGGCCCTGCACTTATGTCCCATTAATAGAAAAGCAGTTTTATCACATTGACCAAACTTCATTGGTTATTATTAATTAATAACAGATAAAAGTGAATAATTTGTGATATTTCTCACTTTGACCAAACGAAAGCGGTTATTGTTAATATTAACTGGCTAGTATTAATAATAACCGGATTTATTACTTTAACCGTAACATATATATTTGCAAAAAAAGCTGAATTATGAATCTAAGATAATTAAAAGAAAACTTTTATATGTGTGTATGTCCTGTTTCTTTAAACTAACAAATAGAATACTAATTTTGACATTAGAAAACAGACAACTTGTTTTTGTTTACATTTATTTTCTATCACCACATATTAACAAACACATAAGTTTATTTATACAGATCCAAATGTATTTTACACAAATAAATACACATTTTATAATAAATATTTCTGTGCTGTTTATTTATTACATTATCTACAGAGTGATTGCAGCAAGCATTTATTTTAGCTACTTCCACATACTATGGACCAACAAACGCCATTTAAAGACCTCCTTAAAATTAGAATAAATATTAAGTATACATTTCATTCATAAATACATTTCATTTACTTCAGTTTATTTGAAAAATAATAATGGTTTTAATTTGATGAAATTACTGACAAAAATTCAGAACCTCATAATCTAATTGGAATAATTATTAAGTATTACAAAATAGGAATACATTTCATTCACTGTAGTTTTTTTTTTTTTTTTGTAAAATAATAATAGTTCCAATTTGATGATGTTGCATACAAAATTCAATTCCTTACAATAGATTTCTGAGATTGGTATGTAAATCTGTTTGTAAAAATTGAAGATACTCTAAAACAGTTTAATTAGGCAATTTAAAATCAATATTATTAGATAACTAGCTACTGTATTGTTTTATAGAATAATGGCATAGCCTTATTTATAAATTAAAATTTTGGAAAAGTAGAAATAGTTTTATTAAAAAAAAATAATGTAAATATTTAAAAAAAACATGATAGTATTTTTATTTATTTAAAATCCATAAATTTTTTAAAAATAAATTTTGTATTTATTGAGTTAAATTTTATAAAACTTATGATTGTCAAATCCGCAGAAAACCGTTTTAATTTTGGACACGATAAGATAAATTGTTGTTTATTAAAATATTTATGATTGTTTGATTTATGGAAATTTATAGTTAATATTTAATGGTTGTGTAACTAAAAAATTATAATTTGAATTTAAAATGTAGGTTGTTGACAATAGTCATCTTTGAGAACCTAAATCTAGACCCTTATTAAAAATAGTTAGATGATGACCTTTTTTTTTATGTTCAGTTTTGTGAATAAATTGGTGAACTCCAAGGATTTATACGAAATAGTAAGCGTTAAGGCTAAAGAACGAATTATTAAATTAGTTGAAAAATTAAACTGAAAACTAGCAATGGGATACCAGCAAGTGACGTAGTGTGAGTAACTCGATCCTGATTGGTTATTGAAACGTGGTATTTGGTTACGTTAGTAACTGTTCTTTCCAATCTATTTCGAATAAGCCAAGCACGTCAAGTATCAATTCTCTTAAGTGGCACATTCTAAATTCTTTCACAAAGATTCTTTCTCAAAGATATAATTTTTTTCACTATATATTTATACAGAAACTTAGCAAAAAGGCAGCGCGTGAGCTGTCATAAGAATGAAAGCGTTAACGCGCAGTTTTACAAATTTCTGACTGAAAATTATTTTCTCTCATTTACATCGAAAAGCTGAAACAAACTGAGCTATAAATTAGGAAGAATTCAAACGTTAAATACGAATAGTTCATATAACAAGCAAGGTGTTCTATATTAAGTTTTCATTATACTTATGTAGGCTAATACTAATAAATATATATATTGTTTTTGTTATTCTTTGAAAAGTGAATATTAGTCGTGGTGTTTTGTTTCTTAAAATCATAATTAATGCTTAGTTTCTGCAAGTTTTTCTATTGTATGTCTTTTATTTCAACTTAGCCTCCCAATTGTTAGATTATTTGACAGCGCTACAGTGTTCACTCAAAGTTCTGGAATTTAAAATTGTGTTCCCTTTAATAGCTACTCTTCTTAAAAAGTACAATTATTTTTTTGCTTCAGCAAGTTCTTTTTAATTCTATGCCCTTTATTTCAAGTTAAATTTTTATTTCAATAACTTATTGTTGTCTGAAAATTTTTTTTTTCTAATGAGAAATAAGCTTTAAAGATTTTAATAATTTATTTAATTACTCTGGAACTCATTTCAAATAGGTTTAACTCAGTAGCTAGAAAATCGAGCTTGGTTTGCTAAGCAATCCATATTAGATTGTATAGTAATCTTCGGGGGGTTAGGCAGCGTCAGCGAACAGGGTGCCCTCTAGTGCAGATAAACACTATCAAATATATACAATTATTATCTATATATTGTTCTAAAAAGTATTCTCCTTATGTATATTTACCAACTTTGATTAACTCACTAAAATTTGCACAAAGCATTTAAGATATTGCTATTAGTCGTTGCACGAATTTTTTTGGGATCTATTATTTAGAACTTAAATGAATTTGCTATGCATAATAGTTAATTTAACTATCAAAATCGATTATATCGAAATCGAATAAGGCGATTTTTGGAAATGGTACTTTTTAATTTACTTACTTCATCAGATAGAAATATTTTTCGTTCTTTTCTGAGGTCAAAGCAATGATATAAATTGTACTGATATTTAGTCATCGGAATATTTTGAGAAACTGCATTGATTGGGTAAATTGATGATAAAATTATAAAGAGCTAATTTCGGAGATAATTAATTTTTCTCTTCAGTGCATCCAGCTTTCATTTTAGCAAAAATCGAATAGAAATGAATTGCAAAAGTATTTAATCTATATCTATCTATCTATCTATCTATCTATATATATATATTGAAGATACTCTAAAACAGTTTANTCGTTGTCGTCGAGTGCCTTCACATAAAAGTGGATGTTCAGCTTCAGATACATTAGCTTTTAGTCCTGATTAGAAAAAAATATATATATATATATATATATAGTTGCTTTGGTAAATGTCCGAAATCGAAATATATACTATGTCTGGTTAAGTTTCAGTACCCGGTATGCCCTACATCAATGTTTTTTGAAAGTAAAATGCTACTGCCCAGTTTGCATTTAACCGGTACTCCAAACCGGTATTTTCTCAATCTGTCCTCAGCAGATATTAAAATATCGAATAAATATAATAATATCGAAGAATAATTTAAGTTCGAATCGCATATAACAAATATTTCCGACATTCATCAATACGACTATGTTTTATTCGTGCAACAGTTTATAGCCTTGTGTATTTACATTGCATATTATATAAGATGAAAATAAAAATTTTGAAACTGATTTCGAAAATTCTGGAAATATAAAAAGTATTAAGCTTTAAAGCATTAAGTTTCAAAGCATTAAGTTTCTCTTCCATTTTAAAATAATCTATTTAATGAATAGAACGTATATGGCAATTTTCTGATAACAAACTCCTTTAAAGAGCATGTTTTAACGAATTTGGAAGTTTGAAAGCTATTTAAAATTATACAATTTACATGCATACATGTAGTATTCTCCCCTTAAATTTTTATAAATTAATTAAAAATATTTTTTTGGAAGTTAAAGTTTGAGCACGCCATTTAAATGCAATTATTATTGTTTTAAATATTATTAGTTCCAGTGAACAAATTTTTTCGACATGGGGAAAAAAAAATCTAGTAAAAATTACCGAACTGTAATGACATCTATGGTAAAAAAAACATAATTCTGGTAATCAAAACAAAAAATATGGTATTTATAAACCATTCATTTGGTTCTTTATTCGTTCAAAGGGTAATGGTTTACAGGAAATTCTGGTTTTCAAAATTAAAGTTCTTAGTACCAAGTATTTAGTCAAAAATGGAAAACTAAAAAGTAAATTTAACCAAACAAAAGGTTTATATGCCATGCTCTAAGAAGTTATGACAAAATTACCAAATTTTGCCACATTTACTAAATTTTATCACATATTATAACAGTATATTTTGCTGTAAATTTAACCAAAATCATTTCCAAAGTGCTTCGGTAAAAATTACCGAGTTTTTTAGTGTTTCCATGGAGCTAGAAACATGGTAAATTTAACCATATTATGGTAGTTGTGACCATAGTTTTTTTCTTAGTGCAATAAAAAGCAAAAATTAAAATACTGTTTTCTAATAGTTTCAATATATTTCAAAATTATAGATTGGTTGATGAGTTAAATTGAAAAACATATTATAGCGTATGCAAGGAAATTTAATCTGAAAACATTAAAACGTTTGAAATCTATATGTAACGGTTTTTTTTTTGAAGGTACAAATTCTAGGAATTTTTTTTGTTACATATGGAAGTATTATTTTACCCATGAAAGTATTTTTGATCTATTGAGAAACATTATGTTTGTTCTTAAGTAAATATTCAAATTTCAGTGCAGCAAAAAATTATTTTTTTAATTTGATTTTTTTACATTACTGTTGGTAAATTTTAATAAATCACTGTTCTTAATTGTTTTTCTAAGACTACATGAAGAAATAAACTCTTGTACGAATGTAATATTCTACTGAAAATAAGACATATTTTACTGCATAACTTAGAATATATAACAGAATTTTGTTTTAAATATTTCCTTAATTAAAATAACTCCCTTTAGAACCGATTATTACACCACATTTTCTTAGTTACTGGTTAATTTTTACAAACTTTTAAACCTAATATAATGTCAATAACATTGAATCACCTTCCATATACGCTTTTAATATTTAGGTCTTCTGCACTGGTTCAAATGATTAACCTCAGATCATGCGTACTTTTTATTATGTAATATGCAGTAATTAAAATTTTTATCAAAACTTTTGTTTGCTGCACTATGTGTTGATATTTCCCTTCTTTTTTACACCTTATAGTCGATTCAAAATTAATTAGAAACAGTTCTACAAGCAGCAGCTACGGGAACATTATATTATACCGAAGTACTGTATTTGAAAATAAAAGCAGAGGTACATGGAAATTTGTGAGCGGGGGCGTATCTTTTATAAAACTGACTCCAAGAACAATAGCTGAGCTTAAAAAACATTCGTTATTGACTGACAAAGTTACGAAACATCACATACAGCACATTGATAAATAACTTACTTTCAACACATATGAGACACGACCACTATATGTATATCAATGCTATTTACTTGCGGTAAAATGTCACCTTATTTACAATCACGTGAAATTCAGTCTCTGTCTGGTACAATTTACATAAATGACCCTATGTGAATTAATCTGGCAATTAACTTGATCTTCGAGTGGGAAAAAACTCAAAATTTTCGTTTTTCAAAAGCTTAAAAGGTATAAGCATACTTCCGTGGGAAAGCTTGCCTTTCTATGTTTCTTAAACTCCACAACTACACTTGTGCTTCTAAATTCTCATCCTCATCAATGTCTCAATGTACAAATATCCCTTATTTACAATCACGTGAAAACCAGTCTTTGAATGCGTAAAATTTACATAAATGACCACATGTGGATTACTCTGGCACTTTTCTTGATCTTTGGCACTCACATGAATGAACATTACCCATTCTGCAAGTAAACATTACCGACACGAAGATCACACTTGTTTTAATCTTCGGTCGGGTTAAAACTCAAAATTTTCGTTCTCCCAAAATTTAAAGAAAGACTTCCGTATGAAACCTTGTCTTTCTATGTTTCCTAAACTCCACAAGTATTACTTGGGTCTTTAAATTCCCCATCTCATCAATGTCTTTGAAAGCTTAAAGGTAAATAAATATATACCTTATTTGCAATCAAGTGACACGTCTCAGAATGTGTAAAATTTACATAAATGACCATATGTGGATTACTCTGGCACTTTTCTTGATCTTCGGGTGGTAGTTAAAATCTTAAACTTCTCATCCTCATCAACGTCTCAAAGAGCTCAAAATGTACAAGTAAATTTCTGCAAATAAGCCTCCACAAATCGTTTGAGATTGTGATATCTAATATGTTAGAGACTAGCTACTTCTTAATTTATTTATGACGAACTACATCTAGTAGTTTAACTACAACTGGGACTGGCACATAATCAAGGGGAGTCACAAGGATAATTTCTGCCAATGACGGATTTGCTTATGTCCTGCTGATATAGCCTCATTCCAGTGTTCCAGAGGTTTTCCCTTTACAAACATGTAAGATCCAAAGACAACACGTCCCAATACTTTATCTGCAATAGAAGATTTAAATAATTACTTGCATGAAAGTTATATATGGATGGTTGACTGAACGTGAACAATAACAAGCTTCCCAAAACCGGAAGGAATTTAGAAAACTTCCGGTGTATCCCTCCGCTTGTGTTATGCTTACGAGGCGATGAGTGAACAGGCTTAATATTCTAGGAAGTTTTATTATTGTGATTTGTGTTTAAATTTAGGCGTAGAGTTTTACCATTCATAAAATATTTCTGTAATTTATAAATTCTAGCAGGTCGTGACCCTAAAGTAAATGTAACAAAATTAATATCTCAGCATAAATAAAGTGTAGGGTTTGCCATGTTTTGAATGTTATCTCTTATTTGGCTATATTTGTGTAAAATAGCGCCGTTTGTTATATTTTGGGTAGCATCATAGCTTGCAGAGTCTTCCAAATTCATTCTTTGTTGCGTTCATTGAAAGTTAAATTGAAAGAAAGAGTTATATTGATAACACTACTAACATAATAACATTGGATGGCGCGTGTTTTCATGTTTAGGCGTAAAATTCAGCCTTAAATAGTAACCCGGAAGTCTGAAGGCGAATTTTGACCACCAGCGCCATCTGCGCATAGCTTCACACCGCCAACTATCCATACGGTATAATTCAAGAGAAAATTAAACAATAAATAGTAAATTCAATATTAATTTCGATAAACATTCAATAAATTAAAAAAAGGTGCAATATTAAAACTTTTTTCACTGTCTTGTATGAGTTTTGTTTATGTGAGTTTTTAAGTTTAATTCACCATATGGAAGTTTTTAACTTTTTTAGATACATTGAGAAATCGAGTAGCTTTAGCTTAACGATTGTTTTATTCATAGATTAAACAAGACAGCGAGATCTTGGTTAGAAATCCAAAAAATTAATACAAAAAAAATCAATTTAAGAAGATACTCATAATCAATGAAATTTTCTAAATTAGTGACGAAACCGTTTCCTGGAAAATGCTTTGAGGAAAATGCTTATTTAAATTAAAAAAATCCTCATCTTTACTTGTTAAATTTCACCAAAAAAATTAGGCTTAATATAACAGATCGATTTAAACAAATGATTAGGGAATTCCACATGAAATAAAAAAAATTATAATTAAATGAGCACCCAATCATTGCTAGGAATTCAATTTCGGAAACCTTATTTCCAAGAGAGCGTATTAATTCCAATGCACTCTATTCTACGGTGCAAACAATTTTAAAGTCAGATAAAAAAATGCAGAGAACTTCAAGAATTCAATAAGATGAGATAAGGAAGGGGGGGGGAATCAATTCTATTAATCATTTTAGAGTTTAAAATTCCTATTTTCACAAAAGAAATAAAAGCTGCTAAGGAATTCGTGGTAGTCGAAATTTTTTTCTTCTTCTAATTTTTAAAAGAAATTTTTATTTAATGTTTCAAGTATGACAATATCAAATGTTTTAAATTTTAATATTTCTGTAACAATCTTAATATTAGAATTTATTGCATTAAAACGTAATGAATTTCGTTGCAAATTTTGCGAATACATAAAATAACACGCAGAAAGCGTATATGGATAAAGCGTTTATATGAATAAACGAATATTAATGTGGAAGCTTTTACTATAACATTTATAAAGTTTTTACCACATTAAGGAGAACTAGGCTTAAATTGTAGAGATGATAAGAAAATAAATAAATAATACAGCTTGCAATAACTTTTTATCTAATGATCGGATTTTCATGCACTAGTACTCAATCTAAATAGTTTGAGGAGGTGATCTCTAATATGCTAAATAGTTAGCAAATACAAAAGCATACTTTTTCCGAATAAACACTTTTTCCCCCGACAGATTATGATTCTTGATCCCCTAGGCATAGGGGGTAGCCGCAGTCTTGGAAATATGTGGTCTCAATAGTTTGGTCAGGAGTGCGGTCGAAAGTTTGGACCCTTTATTTTCTTATTTATATTTTTTATTACGTTGAATTTCGATTTATCGAGAACTATAAAACCGATTTTGTTCACATTTTATGTTTTGCCATATAAAACTACATTGTTTAAAATGGTGAAAGAAATTGTATACCTTACAATTCAAAATTTGTTCGACTATTATTAAATAAAACAATTACTAAATTTTTTCTTTCTCAATAGACTTATTTTTGGCTAAACGAATTTTATAATTGCGTGCAAGAATTTGTCAATTCGATAAAAAAAATTCTCGATACATGGCGAAATTCCGAAAAAGTAAAAGAAACATTAAGGAGTCCAAACTTTCGACCTCATTCCTGACCAAACTATTGAGACCATATTTCCCAGATTTTGGCTACTCCTTTAATTTTGGGTTTCAGAAATCATATTGTGTCGAATAAGATGTATGTTTATTCAGAATAAGTGCGTTTTTGCACTTATTGTCTGATTTTGATCTTAAAATATTGTCTGCACTAAACAATTGACCTAAAGCGCTTGACTCTGAGGTTTTCTCGTTCTTTGCGTCGAATTCCAAGTTACAAAGTAATACAGTTACATAAATAAGGATCCCCGCATCCTTTAGATTGATTGCTTAACGCCATTAGAAATAAATGGATAAATGAAAGAAAAATATATATAGCAATTTGTTTAGTTATTCATGCTTTTGAGAAAAGTGAAAAATATTTATTTAGTAAGTAAAAATTACAGAGAAACGTAAGTTAAATGTTTGTAAAAGTATTTTTCTAAAAAATTAATACAACTGTAAAGAATGTACCTTTATTTGGCCCACCAGCAGCAGTTATTTGCAGGTTAACGCTAGCAGAATTTAGACATTTCTGAGGGAGTCGAAAATGGAATGATTCATTGTATTTAGGATCCAGAGATTTCTTCACAACAGCAGTTTTCTTCGTTTTCACAAGTTTGTTCTCAATCATAAATAGCAGTTTTACATATGAATCTGAAAGTAGATGAGGATTTTCTGATTAATGTTTGTTGGTGTTACTAATACCACTGACCAATACCAGCAATCCTGCTTGAAACGCAGTGAATTTTTAAGGCAGAGAGTGCCTTTCTAGTTTTTTTAGTGGTGTCATCTATGGCCAAGAATACGAATTCAGCCACACATACGCCACTGCCCGTTCTATAAGGTGGACCCAATCATACTAGATTCATTTGTCCACAGATCGTAATTTTGTCCTGAAGTAGAGTACGATCAATCTCCAATTCAGTACCCCCAGAGGATTGATTGAACTAGACGGATTTTGTGACCATGACAGATTTAACGTGCACCAATCATTTAATGCATGGGGATTATTCAGCTTGCGGGATTAGTACTCCTATTCTCATGAACATGAGCCCAACGTCCTACCAACCATAGTATCTCGACTTTTCTGATTAATAGTTGATGACTTAAATACAAAAGTAAGCGTAGATAAACTACTGGAGCTCGATCTTGATAATTTCGGGTTAAAAAATGATTTTAGATTACTTTTAATTATATTAACTCTTGAAAAACTAGTTTTGTTGTCCTTGAAAAAAACTCTACCGAGAAAAAAGTATGGTCAAAACTACCAGAATGTAGAAACAGCTCTATGGAAACACCAAAAAGTTTGGCAATTTTTACCGAAGTGTTTTGATAATGGTTTTGCTAAAACTAACAAGAAAATATAGTTTTTCAATCCGTGATGAAATTTGATTAATGTGGTAATATTTATGTATATTTTAAAGTTTAGTAATGTTTCAGAGCATGGGAAAAAACCCATTTATTTCGTTAAATTTACTTTTCAGTTTTGTGTATTTTACTAAATGTCTGGTAATAAGAACTATAATTTTGAAAACCAGACTATCCGGAAAACCGTTACCAGATGAAAAAAGAATTATCAAAAGAATGGAAAAGTTCCCAAATTAATAAAAAAGTTACCAAATAAATGGAAAAGTTGTTTAATGAATAGAAAAATTACCAAATGAATATTTTTTTTAACCGTATATTTTTATTTTAATAACTAAAATTATGTATTTTTTTAAAAAATTTAATTAGAAACGCGATTACCATACAGTATGGTAAATTTTCTAGAATTTTTTTCTCCGTGACGATATGATTCATAACATTTTTACCACCCTTTCTTTAGATAATTTAAGCGAGATGTTCCCTAATGACAGCTCTTAAAATGAATTTCTAGAATCCTTGTCGAAAATTAAATTTAAAATATATACACACGATAGGGAGGGAAAATTAATATTTCAGCGAGGAAGAGATAAAAATGTAATCGAAACCTTATTAAACTATAGCACAATAAATACAAAATACTTAACCGATTTGAATCGGCCGGACAAATATTTATTAGGGGTGTTTATGCATATATATATTACATATGAATNATATATATATATAGTGTTCTGTATATTTTCCCTATTTGAATATTGTCTTCTGATCTCTAATTGAAATGCTTTTTTGAGAATTATTCCAAAAATACATATTAAGAATGGTGAATACAGAATACCCTGCATATTATTATTAAAAATTAATATAATTTCTCTTGATACTAATACGCGATATGTTACGTCATTTTGACATTTTAAAGATGTAAGCATTAATAGTAGCAACTTCTCTGTATTACTGACTGTAATAGTAGCAACTGTTTCATACTAAAGTAATTTAGTATGAAACAACACAACGATAGCAAAAATAAAAATGAGTTTTTAATTCAATTTAATAAGATTTTACATAATGTTTTATAACTGTTGAAATTTTGGTGAAACTGCCAAACGTTATTTAACAAATTTTATAAAGAATGTTAAGAATTATGACTGCCTATACGCGTGTTACTTCCTTTGCTGTCTTTAATGGATAGTTTTAGAGCAAACAAGTTTTAGTATCTGCTTTTATGAGTGTCATAAAACGAACATTTAAAGGCTTACGGCAGTATATCAAAGATCAAACCCAGTACCATCAAACGGTAGAAACAGTGTATTCCAGAGACAGAGATTTTGTGGCATAGCTGAGGATTTTCGATAAAGTAAATGGAATTCGCTTGATGGATTTTGCTCTTGATGTTTAAATAAAGAATATGGTTTTTGCGTAAAAAATATTGATTATCTGATATATAAATCATATTGAGTGATGTCTGTTAAATAAGACAAAACTTATGTTGTGTTTCTTATTTCTTTGCAAACAATGCAATGTTACTTTATTTTATTTAATAACCGTCGTTGAACAGTGGACCCGATATTTGGTTTAAGACTATAATGTTAAACTCCATAGCTTTGAACCCAATCCAAAAGACAAGGGTGCTCTTTAATCAAGATATTCGCCTTCACGGTGGACTTTTTGATGAATACCCATATTTGTGCTACATGGAGAGGAAAACCGTGAAATTTTTCCATAGTTAGCCTGATGGCAAGGAGACTCTAACTGTACATGATCCGTCAATCACGGAGGATATTTTACGTCAGCATTGTGGTTGGTGCGAGTCGGATGCAAAATTCGACAAAGTAGTATTTCTAAGGTTACCTGATACCACGTGTTCATTTTCTTTAGAGATATGTTTTTAAAATGAGTCACGATTAAACTAAGTAATTAAAAATCAAAGGTAATTAAAAGAAAAAAAAACAGTTTTGTACTGAAACGAAAAAATAATGGATAAATGGTATTAATTCATTGAGACTAAACGTAAAAAAGCACCAAAATTATTATTGACGCCAATGATAATTAATTTTGTTAGTTACTAATTAAAATTTACTAGTTAAAAAAGTAATAGGCTACGTACAAAGGGCAAAATAAATGAAGAAATGGTACTTATTCGTTTAAGAGAGCGAAAGAAAACTCATAGATCTATTATTGACGTCAATGGTACTTAACTGAGTTGTGGTGGCTCAGGGGATAGAGCGTTTGCCTTCCAATGAGGTGAACCGGGTTCGAATGCCAGCGATGGCTAGAAGATACGAATTTCATACCCGACTGGCACCGATCACAGTACTGACGTAAAATACCCTCATTTGTAGACAGATCAGGGGTTAGAGTTTCTTTGCCGTCAGGCTAACCGTGGGAGGTTTTCGTGGTTTTCCTCTCCATGGAAATCAAAGGGGGATTAGTTCCAACAAAATGCCTTCCACGAAGGCAAATTTCTCTCAATACTCGATCGAGGAGTTCCCTTATCTTCTGGATTCGGCTAAAAATTAAAAGGCTACGGCGTTGATCTCTAGTAGTCGCAAACCCAAAAATTGGGTCGGCTGTTCAACGACGGTTATAAAATAAAAAATAGAATATTCTGGAGTTCGCTACTTAAGTTGCAAATCAGGAAGGTAGTACATTCATCGAATTCAATAATTTTAAACTAAAGAAAAAATCCATTTACAAATGTGAGTGTGCTTTTTTTTTAAAGATTCATTATTATTATTAAATATTTAATTTATTTATTCCTTTAAATGTTCAGATTTTTTTCTCCAAAAAGATAGTTTGTGCAACTCAAAATTAAACTTTAGAGTCGAGTCAAAAGTTATTTTCTATTTAAACTGTTTTTAATTTACCGCGAAAAAAATTAACAAACAAATAAGCTTCTCAGCTTTGAAAAGAATAAAATTACATAATTTTACGAACTAAGATCAAAAAATGAAAACTTTGAATTCCAGGAAACGTTTATGAAGTCAAAAGTTGGAACAATTTAAAATCCTTAAGCTCAAAATACCATAATATAATAAAGTAATTCTGCGTATATTGACTAGAAGGTTTTCGAGAACAAAACATTATAGCGATAAGGATATTAAAATTCTAGAAACCTGCTTGCTAGTTATAAAAGCAAACTATCAATTTCATTTATGAAAGAAGGAATAGGAAAGCACTTTTCTTTATGGACTTTTCTCTATTACTGTAATGCGTGCATTCTTTTTAGCGAAAAAATAGTTTCAAAGATTTTTTATTTTTATTTAAAATCTAATGTAGATTTATCTATGGTTTCATTTTCAAAAATTGCTTTGGTAATATATTAAAGTTTAGTTTCTAACAAATTTGATCGGGGTTTATATCTGACTAGTATTTTTGAATTAAGGATAGTCTAAAAGTGTAATATTTTGAATTTTTAGTCAGATTATAGTTATTAATTCGATTTATATATATACTTATAGTAATATGATAAATATTATAGTAATACACTATAGTTATTATTGTTATAGTAACAAATTCCCTAAATATGTATGCATAATGGTCAGACATACGAAAGTTCTTTATCATTTTTTTATTCTATTGAAATTAAAAAAATTAACGATTTTTGAAGTACATTTCGAAGAAATCAAAAATTCAAAATAACCTCAAATTTCATTAAAAAATGCAAGAAAAAATATAATTTCAATTTAAAATACATAAAAATTCAATTAAATTGTATAAAACTTAAAATGCATGGAAATGTTATAAAATTCATTGAAATAGTGAACGTTGAAAAGATCCAGAGATCAAACCAGAAATCAAATTTCAATGTTGTTTGCATATAAAAAGTAGTTTCATTAATTTTAAAACTACCAAAGCATTTTACTTTCGGAATTCGTTGTAATAAATTAATTATAATATTATAATTTTCATTAAAAAAAAATTAAAAAAAACACACTGTTCTCCTGAGTCAAAATTTGAGTATTTTCAAAACACAATTTAACAAGTTTTCTAGTGGACAAAGGCAGTAGTGGACAAAAATTTTGTTTATACCAATTTATTAAAAGATTAATACATTTGCCTTTTTTACCACAAAAATTTTTTTCCTATAAAACTATGAAAATTCAATAGTTGGGGGCGGGATAGCCTGGTTGGCAGGGTGCTGGATACCCGTTCGTAAGAACGGGAGATCGAATCCAGCCGGCCAAGAATTCCCTGTGTAGTAAATGATGACTGGTGTACGTTAACAAATAATACCTCTGGGGATACTGAATTGGAGATGGATCGTTCTCTGGTTCAGATCAAAATTACGATCTCAGGATGAATAGTTGTACAAATCGATCCTCCCTATAAACGGGTATTGCGTATGGGTGTGGCAGAAGTCGAATTCTTGGCCATAGATGGCGCCACTGTGAAACAAGAACAATCACACTCCTTACCTCAATGGCCTACGACAACAACAACAACAACAACAATTTAATAGTTGTTGAAGGGTAATCTTTTGTTTTGAAAACTCACCTGTAATCGTTGATCCTTCCGGTAATTTTAAACCTTTTGCCTCGCAGACAGTTACAGTAAGACGTTCCAAATTCTCGTTATAGCAAAGACTCACTAGTATTTCTCCTACCTCGCTTATTACCTGCGAAATAAATGAACATCATAACTAAATACAATTGTGTAAATTTCAAAATATTTCAATTTCTAATGGAAAAATATGCAAAATAAATGAAGAAAATAATGAACATCATAATGAACATCATAACTTCATAACTAAATATAATTGTGTACATCTATCTATATTATATAAAACGCTAATACGTATGTATCAATAAAACCGATGATATTTCTTTTCTCGCGTTGGCAACAGCTTTCATTTTTAATTGATTGGATTCGGCGCGCAAGAGCACGTAGTGAGCATCATATGGCTAATCTACATAATATAAAAGGCTAATACGTTTTAGTTGATAGGCTTCGGCACGCAAGAGCACGCAGTGAACATATCATATGTCTAATCGGGTGAATTCTCACCGAATTATCAGAAAAATTCTCACAAAATTATCTTCATCGAAGCAGAGGCTTTACATCCGGCGTTCAGTACTATTTCATATTGTTTTACAACACATGGTCTTAGCCCTCTGGTGGGCAGGACTTTAAAACAAAGCTTACAAAAGTTACTTTTCTCAATAACTGAAATTTAGAATAGTGTGATTAAAAAAAATATGTGAACTGTTTGCAATTTCAAATTAATATTGAAATGCACAGGTTTAGAATTTTCAACAGTCAAAGTTTTCGGAACTTCAGTGTTCAAAAAAGTATACAAAAGCTAGACGTTAAGAACGTATCCAATGCGCGAGCAAAGCGGGCATCGGATTGCGAAGCAATCCGAAATGAACTGCGAAAGCAGTTCCGGGTGTTGGCGAGCGCCAGCGATCAGGGGGCGAAGACTCCTAGTATTACATAAAACGCTAATACGTATGTATCAATAAAACCGATGATATTTCTTTTCTCGCGTTGGCAACAGTTTTCATTTTTAATTGAAAGGGCTTCGGCGCCAAGAGCACGTAGTGAGCATCATATGGGTAATCTATATTATATAAAACGCTAATACGTTTTAATCGATAGGCTTCGGCGCGCAAGAGCACGTAGTGAGAATCATATGTCTAATCGGGAGAATTCTCATCGAATTATCAAAAAATTTCTCAAAAATTATCTTCATCGAAGCCGATGCTTTACATCTGGCGTTCAGTACTATTTCATATTGTTTTACAACACATGGTTTTAGCTCTCTGGTGGGAAAGACTTTAAAACAAAACTTACAACAGTCACTTTTCTCAACAACTGAAATTTTGAATAGGGTGATTAAGAAAAATATGTGAACTGTTTGCAATTTCAAATTAATATTGAAATGCACAGGTTTAGAATTTTCTACAGTGAAAAGTTTTCGGAACTTCAGTGTTCAAAAAAGTATACAAGAGTTAGACGTTAAGAACGTATCCAATGAGCGAGTAAAGCGAGCATCGGATTGCAAAGCAATCCGAAATGAACTGCGAAAGCAGTTCCGAGAGTTGGCCAGCGCCAGCGAGCAGGGGGCGAAGCCTCCTAGTTTCAAAATATTTCAAATTCTAATGGGAAAACGCGCAGTATAAATAAGGAAAATAATGAACATCATAACTAAATATAAATGTGTACATTTCAAAATATTTCAAATTCTAATGGAAAAACGTGCAGTATAAATGAATAAAATAATGAACATCATAACTAATTGTGCACATTTCAAGATCCAATAGAAAAATGTTTCATATTGAGAAAGTAAAACTTGCAATCAAATTAAGGCAAATTGTTATGACACCTCATACACTTTCAGTATGGTCAAGCGCAGTTAAGACTATTCGTGTTTAGCATGTCATACAACGCTAGAAATTTTGTACTTTGTTGAACCGTAATATCATTTCAATTTCACTGTTACAGTGTTTAGCTTATTCCTGCAATTTATCGCACAACATTAATTCTCTTATAGTTCAATTTGAACTGAGCGCAGGCACAGTTTAATAAGTTATTAAAATGCAGGAAACTGGAATGATTCAAATGCTAGTATTTTAATTTTTTCTGTGTTTATGCACCATAAAATTAAATAGAATTAAAAATTAATTTCAGTAAATAATGTAGTGCGTAAAAATAGCATGTGAGAGATAATCTATATATATATTTCTCTTACACGGCTACAAAAAAAAACCTCATTACAACTCCCCGAATTGCAACGCTAGAAAATCGATCAATGATTGCCGCTAAAATATCACATGCCAAATCTAGCTGAGGTGGATCAACATATAGCGCTTTTAAAAACGGAAACTGAAATAACCAGATAGAGTATTCTCACCAAATGTCAGCTATCACACTTTCAGCTGCGGCAATCTCATACTATTAAGCTAGGCAGAAGTGAGTAGTCTTTGCCGATTGATCTCTATATTAGTATTTTGTCGAAAGCGCTTTTTTTCACGAATTTTATTTGACGATTAATTATAGCCAAAATTTTAACCTTTTTAAAGAGATATCAGTTTTAGAAATTTTATCTTAAGATTTTATACTATAACACATTTCTAATAAGTTTAACGAATTACATGTCATTTATTTAAATTCAAATCTATTTTAATGACTTAGTATTTACTAAAATGATGTAATTTAAAAAAAAAAGCTGTTATATGGATTTGAATGATAGTTTTGAATTCTTAGAATTATATGCATTTGCAAGGTACCTACGTTAGTAGCGAGCGAAGCAAACCATATAAGATTGCGCAGCAATTTCCGGGGGTTGATGAGCGTTAGCGAGCAGGGGCGCAGCCCACTAGTTCAATCAAAAAGTTCACGTTATTTTTCACGCACGCACGCACGCACGCACGCACGCACGCACGCACGCACGCACGCACGCACGCACGCACGCACACACACACACACACACACACACACACACACACACACACACACAGATATATATATTTATACTACCATATTCTGGTAGTTTCGACCATACAATTTTTCTCAATGAAAATTCAGTTCTTTTCGATCACAACAAGATTAGTTCTTCAACTGTATCACTTCGCAATGTAATCAAAAATAATGTAAATGATTTTTTATTTTTCAATTTTTTTTTACCATACATTTTTTCCTCAGTACTGTATACAAGATTGCGATTGTATTTATAAAATGGAATATAATTGCTAATCATTTTAAATTGTCTAAACACCATTTTATTAGGTATCTTATCTTTTTAAACGATATTTAAAATATTTTATACATTCAAAGTATAATAACTTTTTATATCTGAAAATTTACACGAGTGGATATCACAGCGTTATTTTTCAAAAAGCCTATAATATTCGCAGATTAAATTTGGCTTCCAATTTTCTTTAGCGAAATTCTATACCTTCATCTTACACTACTTTTATGACTTCTAATATTTCACGCCCAAGATACGTTCAGTAATAAAAGTGGAAAATTTTCCATTTATCGCAACACTTTCCAAGAAAATCTTTTTTTTTTTTTTTTTTTCGTTTTCAGCAAAAGTGTTTAATGGGAAAGATTCATGGTTGCTTGGCAAAATTTTGACTCTTTTAAGTGAGTAAATTATTTTTTTCCAAACATATCAGAATAGTTTTTAAGAAGTAAAAAGCAATAAAATTAACTCGTCATACAATTCTCACAGTTTTTGAAGTAAATTGCTTAACCAATGAAATGTATTGAGTTTAATGTTCCTTAAACATTTTTGCATATTCTTTGCGATTCATTAACAGCTTAAATAATTTATTTTTGTCTGTAGTTAATATTGTTTTCTAAATCTTGCACTTATATTAATTGATCTATTCAAGATTGAATCAGTCCCCTACCAGTAAGGCGTACGAGTATGATGGAAACAGTACTTTTCTGTGAGGAGTTGCGTTATAGATACGTGCCAACCATCATCTATCAAAAGATACCTCTAGATTGAATCGAGTTAGCATGTCTTATATACTAGTGAATTGTTGCTTAATATTCATAGTGGTAGTTACGCCACAATATCCCCCACCAGAATTTTATTTGGGATAGAATTCGATGAATGGAAACCACTAGTTGCCGTATTTAAGAATGGCCGGGAGAGCTGTATTAAGTTCAAGAGTTTGTGGTAAGAGCTGTTGTAAGTTCACCGAGTTTTTGAGCGTTTGTCGTGAGAACTGTATTAAGTTCACGATTGTGTGCGTTCGCTCTTTTGTTGCTATTAGCAGCCGAGTGTGTGCAAGATCCCGTTGTGTGTAAAGGATATTGAGAAGCAACAGAGCGAGGAGGACAATGAGGTCAACTGGTCAATGTGGACAATCCATCCCAGTCGGCGTTACTTTCGATGCAAGAGAGTTCATATCACGTCCGCTGGTCACCAATGTGAGGAGTTTCGTTATAAATCACGCCAACCTTCTTCTATCAAATGGTACACCAGGATTGAATCGAATTAGTTGTGTTATATACTAATGAATTATTGTTTAATATTTCTAGTGGTAGTTACGACTTATTTACTAATGAGCAAATAAACAAACAAGAAATTACAAATTAGAGTAATAGTGCAGCAGTTTTAAGTACGTTAAACGATATGTACACCGAAGAGTCATTACATTATGACCACCCTGCTAATAACATATAGGACCACCTTTAGCCCGCAAAACTGCTAGCACCCGCCGTGGCATCGATTCCACAAGGTGCTGATAGGTAGTCTGAGGTATCTGGTACCAAGCGCTCACCAACTGGTCCTGCAATTCCCTCACATTGCGAGGGGGTAGCGTGGTAACACGAATTTGGTTTTCCAAGTAGGACCACAAATGCTCTATTGGATTAAGGTCAGGTGAATTTGGGGACCAAGACATGACTTGAAGGTCACTGGAATGTTCCTCGATGATTCGACCCTTACGACAAGGTGCATTATCATGTTGGTAAACAGCATCCCCCGCAGGGAAAACTGTTGCCATGAATGGGTGAAACTGGTCTGCAACTATGTTCAAGTAGCTTACAGACGTCAGGGATTGTTCTATGAGGATTATGGGTCCTAATGTGTCCCATGAAAATATTGTTCCTGGGCGAGAAACCATGAAAACCTGGGCGAGCCCATTGTTATAGATGGAGGGGGGTCATAATGTAATGGCTCTTCGGTGTAAACGCGTAAATTTTGTTTAGTATTTTTGAGTATCAATGAAAAAATAATAGGGCAAACCCACTAAACAACAGAAATAAATTTTAACGTAAATTGCTTAGACTTTCAAAATGAAGCGCATTGTAAATTGTACTGAAAAAAATATCGTATAATTCTTTGATCGAAGGAATTAATTGTTAAATTTTAAATAAATAATCCCAAGAAACTGAAGTGGTAAGATATTGTTTCATTAAAAACTTAATTCGCTTCAAAATATTTAAATAGGAAATAAGAGTCTGCATGTTTCAAGCGTTACAAGACAGACACACATTTCCAAGACTTACCAGACTTAGAAAAAAAGTGATATAAATTATAAAACGTAAAGTTCCCAACGAAAAATGGAAAAATAAAGGTAAGAGACAAAACTAGGAAAACCACAGTAGCCGAGACAGAGAAAAATGAGCAAAAATAGAACAAGAAAACCACAGTGATCAGGAAGGGCAAATCAGGGTAAGATACATTTCCACGCGCTATGAAGAGGTAGTGAGGAATTAATGTTGTTAACTAGGGAATCAGCATTCCGTCGAATAAAACGAGATTCAAGGCACCAAGATGAACTGATGTCGAGATTGAATCTATGCCCAAAATTCCAACAATGTGCAGAAATTGATGATTACAGTATTCTTGATAACGGGCATATCATTGTTATTTCCTATTTATATATTTTTAAAGCGAATGAAGTTTTTAATCAAGTAATAATTTTCAAACTGTTTTTATTAAAAGGAATATTTTTAGTGAACGTCTTATATAAAAAATATTAAATTTTAAATGTTATACTAAACAATGAAATGCGAGCCAAAATCTTCACAAAAACAAAATTTTGAACAAATAATTTTTTTTACCATGAATACACCTCATACATTCGGCTGGCACTTTTATTTGAACCGATATTCTTTTTAATTTAGATAATTCTGAGCTTAAATGCATCAAAATATCTATTTCTTAAAATGCTCAGCAAAATTCCTTGATTAAATTATTAAAGTAAACATATTTTCTCGCGAATAATATTTCCAGTACTGCTACAGGAATTAGAATAAATAAACTGGACTCACAACATCTTCGACGTCTTTAATTAGATCCTTCCACTGAACGGCCATCTCATTGGTGGAGAGCTCGAATTCTTTGAGCGGAAAGACACAATGTCCAATCACAACGTGTCTTTTTCCACGGTCATTGTCTAATATAGTTACTTTCACTATTCGTTCATCCAGATTTTTTGATGGCATCTGAAAATAGTTTTCATAGAATTGAAATAAACTTTATAACTGGAATGTTGAAATACTAAAAATATAATTATAATTTATATATAAAAATATAGTTATAATTTATAAATAACAACTAAACTGCATTTAAGATTTTTAAAATATATTTAAAAAATACGATTTGCGTTATAGTGGAATAAGTGAAAATAAAGTATAATGCGAAATGTATTTAAATAACAATTAAATAGAATTGCAAATGCGTTTATTTGGGCAAGGGAAAATGTTCACGGTGGAATGAAATATTAAAAATATTGTAATATGTAAAACTTTATATTTAAATAATTTAGTAAGCAGTAAAAGCGGCTGTTTTTATATTCATAATTGCTTAGAATCATTCTCATTCATTTTGATTTATTCATCTTAAAATTGACAAGGAAAAAAAAACTGTAAACATTCGAAATAGATATAAAAATACTTTAAAGAAAAGCGATAAATTATTAGAATCTCGGGATTTTTTTTCTGGCATTAAGATTTTTTACATTAGGAATTTTAAAGCTTATACCATTTGCACTGTACGCTTTACAAAATGTATTTTCAACTGGTAAAAGAATGTATACTAAAAAATTTAAAGACTTTGTATTTTATTTTGTTACAAAAAAAACATATTACTTTAATAAAGCCTAATGCATGTAAAAAGGGCTTTTAAAATAGAAAAGAATAATATAAACCCTAGTAAAATTGAATAGTTAAACTATTAATTTTTCAAACACAACGCTGTAAAATTTTCATATAGATTGAAAAAAAACATTAATCTAAAATACAAAATGCTAATTTTTTAAAGGAAAAAAAAAGAAAAATAAGTATAGAAATTTCATAAAATTTTACATCTAAAGAAATAAAAACTTTCTCCTGTTGTTTGAAATCACTGCTTCGCTGCCAAAAAAAAATTTAAAAGCTTTTAGTGGAATTACGTCAATGAATATATTTCTTATGTTACAAAATTCTAAAATGTGCATTTAAATAAGCACTCTTCAAAACATCAGATGTTATATTTTGTTAACGAAACATTAAGCTCCTTAATAAAGTCTTATAACTTTAATCCCCTGTCGCCAAGGAAAGGTTTTAAAATAAATGATATTAACGCCAGAAAACCTGAGGCCTGACTTTTAAAACGGTAATACAGAGCTTAATACGGGTTTCAGTTAATGACTTCACTTTTCTCTGACGCTGCTAGGAGATTGAAACGAGGTTTATCAGTTGTAATTTACGAAACAAGCAATAACGAATTAGTTATTTTTGAGTTCGAAAAGTCAGTTTACCTTTCACTGATTATGCTTAGATTTACATTAGGATTTTTAAAGGAATAGGAAGATATAAATATTTAAGGATTACGTTTCTTGAGAATTTGAAATGTAGTATTTTGATTAAAATTGATAGTTTTAACCCTTTTGCTAGAGACGCAAAGGTAGAACTTTTTTTTTTGAAATGATATATTAATTGTATTTATGAGTAAAATAAATTTTCTTGTTAATTAAGGTAATAAAGTTATTCTCTGTTGCAAGTTAAAAAAAACCCTATTATTTCTACCGAGAAAGCCTGTTTGCAACCAAATTCCAAATGGATGCCAAGCTCTTAGCGAGAAAGTATATTAACATCGCCAACTCGACGTATATTAACGACGTTGCATAACCTTCTTTTTCCTTGCTTTCTTAAACCGTGTGGAATGAGGAAAAAAAATATAAGCCTTTCGGTTCTGTTATAAAGAAACAGATGAAGGAATGATGAATATTGTTTCGTGCAAATAATTTTCTTCTACAGCGAAACAAAATTAAAAATTCCTTATCTCGCATTTGATTTTTTAAGGGCATATCAGCATTGTACGCCCATTTTTAGTGATTCAATCAAATCCAATGCTCTCGCAACATCATATAGTTGTTTCTTATTCAAGGACGACTATTCTCTTTATTTATCTAACTAAGCTACCAAGTCTAGGATTTCAGTAAGACTATGAAACTCTAAACTTTTTTGAATAATTCTGTGATATATATCGTACAAGGTAGCACGAATAAAATTTGTCTGACATGTTCAACCTTTAAAATTTTTTTTATTGTTTTGATAGCATATTTGTATAATTTGATAACGAAATAAAACGGAACTATACGTAGTCGCGTATGATTACTTAAATTGCATACCGCTATAGTCTTATCTTAACTTGCAACGTAGTATAGCTTAGTTTTTTGCTTGCTTTACTAGGAGGCTTCGCCCCCTGCTCCCTGGCCCTCGCCAACCCCCGGAACTGCTTTCGTAGTTCATTTCGGATTGCTTCGAAATCCGATGCTCGCTTTGCTCGCTCATTGGATACGTACTTAGCGTCTAGCTTTTGTATACTTTTTTGAACACTGAAGTTCCGAAAACTTTTCACTGTAGAAAATTCCAAACCTGTGTATTTCAATATTAATTTGAAATTGCAAACAGTTCAAATATTTTTCTTAATCACCCTATTCTAAATTTCAGTTGTTGAGAAAAGCAACTGTTGTAAGTTTTGTTTTAAAGTCTTTCCCACCAGAGGGCTAAAACCATGTGTTGTAAAACAATATGAAATAGTACTGAACGCCGGATGTAAAGCATTGGCTTCTATGAAGATAATTTTGCGAGAATTGTTTTGATAATTCGGTGAGAATTCACCCGATTAGACATATGATGCTCACTACGTGCTCTTGCGCGCCGAAGCCTATCAATTAAAACGTATTAGCGTTTTATATAATATAGATTGGCCATATGATGTTCACTGCGTGCTCTTGCGCGCCGAAGCCTATCAATTAAAAAGGAAAACTGTTGCCAACGCGAGGAAAGAAATATCATCGGTTTTATTGATACATACGTATTAGCGTTTTATATAAGATAGATTCTGCTTTTTCGGTATCGAAAATTTGAACTATAATGCCAAAAGATAAAATAAGTCAAATAAACCTTTGAAAATTATAACAAAAATAAATAAATAAAAATCAAATAAAGTATAAAGGGAAAAAACAACATTTAGGGCCCTATCAGCAGAGGTTCTTGAAACGGGTTTGCACCATAGAGTTGAGATTCAGTATTTCAACTCCATGATTTGCACCCTCCTCTCTTCCTAATCAATATTGGGGTTGAGAACGCTTTGGGGAGAAGAAGAAAAGTTTTTTCTTTTTTTTTTATCGTTGGTTTGTTCTGTATTTTTACACTATTGAGGAAAAGTACTATAATATTAATTACGATATTACGACATAGAAGGAATAAAATGGTTGGACGCAGCGTACCCAACCATGCACGTAGAGTTGGCGAATAACCGGTTTACAGGTGACGCATCTACTGACCGTCTCTTTGCTTTTTATGCTCATACGCTGGATTTTAGTTAAAATGATGCTCTGCTAAATCATGATTATGTTGCATACTCTGTAAGTTGTTTTTCTGGTATAGCGTACCGCACCAAGCAGCTCCCCGTGTTAATTATGTATTCAAAAAGCTGGACTTGAGAAAAACATACTTTCAATGTTCAATATTCTTTGGTCCCGATATGGTGACAAGAAGACTTTGAACGTTAACGAGCGTGAACTATCAGGGACTGAAGAAACTTTAGTGATTAAAATTTTAGCTGGTTTATGAAGTTCACATCCAAGGAAAGGATATTTTTACACCACACTCCATTGTTATTCAACTGGGATTCAAACACTAGATCTTTATTAAAACAGTTGTTGAACAGCAGACCAAATTTTGAGCTTACGGCTTCAACTCCGTAGCCAAGTAATTTTGAACGTAATCTAGAAGACAAGAGAACTCCAGGATCAAGTATTGGGAGAAATTTTGCCTTCTTTTTGATGGAACTAACCCGCATTTGCATTACATGGAGAGAAAACCACGAAAACCACCCACAGTTAGTCTGACGGCAAGGGGATTCTAACCCATGATCCGTCTACCACTGAAGGTATCTTACGTTAGCATTGCGGTTGGTGCGAGCCGTGTACGGAATTCGTATCGACCAGTCATTGCTGGATTCGAACCCGGTTCATTTCATTGGGAGGCGAACGCTCTATTCTCTGAGCCACCACGAATTCTCCAGATCTTTATGCCACTAAAACAATCTGGATACATTCTTACATAAAATACCACAGTATTATATATCTCTATAGACATAAATAAAAACGAAAGTCTTTATGGATGTATTATTGCTAATAACTTCGAGAACGGAAGAACGGATTTGGACCAGTCAGCAGTTTTTCAATCTTTAAAAAGGGATCACCTCTTTCCGGCTTCATGTGGTTTGTGTACAAAATCGAAAATACGAAATTTCGTGGATGAAAACAATTGTTATAGAACCGAAACGCTTTGGTAATGATTTTGGTTAAATTAGCAATAAAATATATTTTTTGAACATGCGATAAATTTTGGTATTTTTGTCATAATACCTTAGACCATGGCACAAAATCTATTTATCAGGTTTAATTTACTTTTCAGTTTTGTGTTTTTTTAATAACTTTGTTTTAATAAGAACTATAATGTTGAAAACCAGAATTTCTGGTAAACCATTACTATATGAGTAGAAAAAATACCAAATGAATAGTTTAAATACCGTAAAATTTCAGAACATCACCATCATCTGGACAATTGGTTTTAATTACCAGAATTTTTTTTAAACCAGAAATATCATTAATTATAATTTTACTAGACTTTTCTTCTCCGTGTGGTAATAGTGAATGCGAATAATGAATTAAGTGTGGTATTTTTTTTCACATAATTTTTAAAACAAATCTTAAAATAATTACGCTGTGCGTGAATAGATTAAAATGCAAAAGGCTTTCAAACTATACGCATGTCTTTAACCAACACATATTGACCTGCATCGAATATTAAACCGTTCCCTTCAGAATGCTAAATACCCAGAATTGCCATCAGGATCATGTTATGTTTAGAGATTCAGCGAAAATTAACCCAACGGTGGGTATAGAGTGGCTTATTCTAATTGATTATTGAGAACATCTAGATCCGTT